CACTGCCGATTGGAGCATGAGAGCCCCATTGCAGCCTTTGCGGCTAGGCTTCCTGATGATGGCACACAAGGAAATCAGGAGCAGCATGACCAACAGCCAAATGTTCCCGTCCAACCTGCATTTGTGGATGACCTGTCCACTCGTCTTGCTCGAATGGGTTACAATGTTTGGGATGCGGACTTTGATATCCCGGTCAGAACTTGGTACATCGACCATGCCACCATCCGTCGATGGACTGCGCCACGGAATCTGCAACTGGTAGGTCCGCCACGTGGCTGGGAGGCACAATTCAGTTCTTTGTGGGTGGACCAGATAAACCCAGATGAATGGTTTGATGTCACTGTCATCTATCCGGACCCCCCAAGGACAGCAAGAAACAGCTTCATCATAATGGATCTGGTTGTTACACAATCCCTTCAATTGGACAGGTTTCCTGGGCTAATTACAGTATTTCCCACACATCATGACGCATTTGAGATGTTTTCGGTTGCTGCATCCTTTGAACCTAGGGTCAGTGGGTTCGACATTGCTCAAGCTGCAGATGCTGCGGACATGTGCAGATACCAAGAGTGTACTGTCACCTTCAGCTGGCAGGAAATTCCGTTCACACTCCGTCCTCAACATGTGATGGCTCATGGGGACGGGTTCCAACTTGTGGTTAGCCACCAATTGGTCCGGTTAATGAGGTCGTCCACTTCACAGGCAGGGTCCACCGCTGAGAGTTCCACTGCCCGTGATGTCCAACCGAGGGTACCTGACAATCGTACGCCAGAGCAACTGCATGATGACAACCCAGCACAGAGGTTCATAACACCGCTGCATGTTTTCCAACTTGAAGGCCACGAAGTTGTCCTCCAATTGGTCAATGCACAGTTAGCGCAACCGACCAATGCAATGGCCCAAGCATTGCATGTACCATTCAACTGCATCGAGGCCTTACACATCATGCCGATTGCACCGGATGGATTCCCTGAACTAGCCATCCCAGCCATTGTTCAAAGAGTGGGTGACATTGACCTCCACTCGACAGACAGGTTGATATTGATTGATACCATTTATCATCATCACCCGAGCCCGTCAGGTTTGTTGAATCGCCCAACCGTGGTCAGGGCCGTTCAGAGGGTCTCCTGTCAAGTAACCCGCCAACAAATCTTATTCAAAGCTGCGGTTTATCACTACTGTCAGTATTTGCAGGAAGGGTGTGCAGTCAGCCTTGATGGCTATTTATGGCCCATCAATCATGTGGATCCTCGCCCTGTGACGCATGGATCCTATGCCACTGTTGATGTTCCACCACCCTATGGCACACAGCTTGATACCCAGATGGTGGCTGACCAGCTGCATGAAAATGGAACCATGAACACCATGATGAATTGGTTGACCGAGCCTGATGATTTGCCTGAAGATGCCATGCAACTCATGCAAGTTGGGGTCACCAAAAGGGTAGTTGGTACCATGACCAAATATCACTTACGAAGGGTCTGCCAGCAGTATCCCCTCCCAGCAGACGCAGATGTAGTTGATGACTCGAAGTCTCCTACCGTCAGCCGGAATGAACTGCCTGAAAACAGTTCGTCCCTTGGTCCTATGTCCAACGTCATTGAGCAGTCTGCTGATGAAGCACCCATTCCGAAGAGTTGCGCACACAATGCAGGTCAGTCCAAGGCACACGGCCCCACTGACCCACTGGCGCACATTGACCCAATACCCAAGCCGGTAGGTCAAACCAAGTTGCACAAGTTTTTCAAACGTAGCCATAGCACCCAGGTTGGCAGGAAAAAGCCGTTAGGTCAAGGCCAAACCACATTGCATGCCTTTTTTCCAAGTGCCCGCAGTAGCCCAGGTACAACCCCCATGCCTGCCGATGCCGGACCTGAGGTGCCTAAGGAGCCATACCCAGCGGATGGACCTACATGCACCACACAGACTGTTGTACAGGATGCAGTAGGTCATAAATGCTCAGCCAGCCAAGAAAGGGACCCGCCAGTGTTCACCACTTCCCTTCCAGTGCAGCCTGCATTACCCAATCCAGAGCCAAGACCGCGTCCTGCATGGCGCATTCACCTGGCCAACATTTTTGATGAAATGGCAACTGTCATTCACAGAGAGACCGGCCCCGTCATGCAAGTGGAAGTGTGGTACATCCATCACAGGAATTTCCCGGAGTGCTTGGCCCCTCGTGCAATCGAGCTGGACAATATTCAGGAACTGTGGTATGCTGACCTCTGCAACCTATGGTTTGATCGAATACAACGACATGAGCCCATGCGTGTGGTCAACGTTTTGCCAACACCCCCACACCAAGCACGGCCTCGGTCAGCTGCACACATCATCTTGGAACAAGGCTTCTCCCCTGAAAGGATTGCAGTTCACTTCACGGCTGTCTTCCTAGGTGGCACCTACCTTGGACTGTTCCAACGTGTGGAGTCCTCGCCCACGAGGATTTGCACCAGAGATATGATTGTGAAGCATGGATTCCAGTTGCAGTGTGATTCTCGCCCATGCAACATGCACTCAGGCTATATCAGGTTTGCCATGGATGAGAGGGAAGAAATTTTCTCAGGGATCTGTGTGGTCTTGACGGTGGCTCCACCGCCACCAGAGCCATTTCCTGTCCGAACGCCGATTGATGCAGGGCACCAGGCCATGCACGACCAGGAACCAGATCAAGATGCACACGCATTGATGCAACACAACATCCAGCCGAAGCGACCGCCTGAAGGAATCCGTCCAGCTGAACCCCCTGCAGTTAGTGTACATAGACTAGCACCGACGTTTGATCACCGCATTACACCTGCTGCACTCACGGAATTTCGGGCCACCCTGATGTGGCAGCTGGGCATGCAAGCCGACCGATGTCAGATCTCCCCCGAGGACCCAATGCAGGTTCACACTTGGTACCTCAACTCTGATCGCTGCATCCGCACTGAAGAGTCACGAGCTGTCCAATTGCGACTGCAGCCACACACATGGCATCAGGACATCGTTGAACGCTGGGTAGACCGCTTAGACCCCTTGTATCCAGTGCACCTGTACGTGGTTACTCCTAACCCGCCCAGCAGGTCACTCACACCGGAAGCACATGTGATTGTTCTGCAGCGACCAAATCCGCTTTGGAGGAGTGCCTTGCTGACGGTCTTGCAGCCACGATCTGACCCATGGCATCTTCAATTTGTGTGTGCCATGTTGGATGCGGAAACCTCCCTGGAACAGCTGGGGTTCATTTCGGGGGTTACTCATCCGTCTAACCCAGATGCCCATGTCTCAGGAATCACTGCCAAGCAAGGTCAAGCTCAACTGCACCGTGATGGTACGTTCCCAGTCAGGCATGGTTATTGGTTTGACATTCAGGCTTACAGTTTAACAGATCATATGGATGATGAAGTGGCCACCATTCAGCTGCAATTCACCACCCTCCGAAAGATGATGGGTGACATCCAGACCAAGGTAAGCCGCACTGCCAGAGCCTCAATGTCTCCGGAGATTGTCCAGCCAAATCATGACATGCCAGCAGCCTTAACGGTCATTGTCCACCCCAATGACCCAGGCACATATCTCAACCCATTTGAGGCTCTCCCATTTTTCACTGCACTTCAATCGCACTGGCAGCCATTGGCCCTGCTGCAACCACCGGAATTGCCTGCGCTTGTACCGGTCATCACCTGGTACATTGACCACATTCGATTTCCCCAATGTTTTCAACACCGGCTAGTTCTCCTGAACCACAATCCGGCTGATTGGATTCAGCGTTTGCGCAGTGTATGGATAGACTTGATCTTGCCCCAGCAACAGATGCAAATTCACATTGTACAGCCACATCCGCCAGAAGCTCCGATGCATGTAGCTGCTCATCTTATTGTTGTACAGCAACCTATCGAAAGATTCCGTGCGGTGCTCATCACTACCTATGACTCAGCACTGCCCGATGAGCCGCCAACCAACCACGCCTCCATCGCACCAACCCCTGTGGCCTTTTCCACTGTGGTTGCTTTGGCCTACAGAGACAGGGTCTGCCAGCACCCTCAGGTTGACTGCGTAGTGTGGGTTGGAGAAGAGGAGCTCCCCCAAACAGACGAACGTCAGGTAATCAATGGTCACTCCCTGGTTGTGGCAGTACACCGGCACCTCCCGCCCATGCCTGCCGGCGATGATGTATGGGATTTAAGCCATAAGCATTGTCCTTCCGTGCCAAAATCCCTTCCCTCCCAACAGGCCTTTGCCAAACAGGAGTGTGCATCAGCAGCTCAGGTACCCGAACAACGGGTGACCCTGAACCTGGAAGCCGTTTTGCCACCAGCAACGCTGGACACCACGTGGGATGACAGCAAGCCTCAGCTTTTATGGTTTGCCAATGAAGCATGGCTCTTCAAGCTGTCCAGAGCCCCACCGTGCCAACTGCATCCCCTGCCGGAGGGATTACGTCTACCGGACGTTTGCTATTGGCCACTTATTCATCCCACTCCACCCGATAACCCTGCCCACCAGTTGACACTCTACCTGGATGGAGCGGCTAACGGCACCCATGCAGCATGGAGTGTGATTGCTACCCTTAACCTGCCCATTGGAGAGGTCTACATCGGCTGCATGTATGGATGTGTTCATCTTGAGCCTGACAACCCCCAATGGATTGGGGCTGATGCCATGGATAACATTGCTGCAGAACTCTCAGCCATGGCCATGGCACAAACCTGTGCTCTCCGCTGGCCTTACAGTGATCACCTGATTTGCATCCGCCCAGATCTGTCCTTGAGCCGCACAGTTGCCACAGCCGTCACTACATGCCGATCCAATGCCTGTCTTGCTCAAATATGCCGCATCCAAGGCTTATGGCTCACAGCCAGGACTGAGATCTTGGAAATCAGAGGCCACCAGGGCCATGCCTGGAATGAACTTGCAGACGCAGTGGCAAAGTGGGCCCTGATTCAAGGATCGCACGAAGCTGAGCCCAGTCTTGGTGCTCTCCATGAATTTGCATTGCAGACTCATGATGTTGCCTGGGCCTGGATGCAAACCACGCATCCTGCACTCTCTGCTTGCTTCCCAAGCCTCATTGACCAACAAGTAATGCAGTTTGACTCCTCCGACCTGCGCGTCCAGCAGGCCCCAGTGCGGCCTGAGCACAGTGGCAGCCTGAACCCGAGCCATGCCCAATGGACCATGACTGTCATTACTGCCAATGTACTGGCCGCTGAAGTCTGGAGCACACAGCCACAGGGGTCAAGAAGAACCGGCCAACGCACCCTCCGTCTTGACCACCAATGGCACAAGCATGTGGCACACGTCATTGGAGTGCAAGAAGCGCGCACAGCAGCTGGACAGTATCATTCACAACATTACCGTATCTTTGCGTCAGGCGCCACTGTGGCCAGAGCGCCCTTATATGGTTGTGAATTGTGGATACATAAAACTCAGCCCATTGCCCACGATGCCCAGGGCAATCCCATTACCCTAGGTGACGCCAAAGTCTCCATTCGCCATGCAGACCCCAGACGACTAGTTGCTGTAGCGAGCATTGGCCAAGTACACTATACATTTGTAGTCTTGCATGCGCCATGCCAAGCCACCCAGAGCGCAGACACCCAGCCCAATGGGGACGTGGTAGCCGAATGGTGGAGCACCACCAGTGCCATCTGGAACAACACCGTCACTACTGACATATGTTGGCTCTTGGTTGACGCAAATGCACCAATTGATGGAGAACATGGTTACCACACGGGGCCCCTAGGAGCGGAAAACCCCAGCAAAGCAGGCACAGCTTTCATGCAATTCTTAGCCGGCAATGACCTTGCAGTCCCCAGCACCTTCCCGCACATCCATGCAGGGCAGACCACCACATGGTCTCATGCCACCGGAAAAAGGAGCCGTAAGGACTACGTTGCCATCAAGGCCAAGATGATGCCACTGGCCACGCACAGCTGGGTTGACATTCATCATGACAACACCTTTGCACACGCCGACCATTTGCCGGTCGTCCTGACATGCAAGGGATGGCAACAGCTCCACTCTTGTGCTCCCAGCTTCCGATGGGATGCAGAAAAACTTTTGGACCCCCAGTGCTGCCAAGACTTTCAACATGCCCTCAGTACCCTGCCCATCCCACACTGGCAAGTTGATGTTGACGACCATGCAGCCATCCAGGAAATGCAAATTTTGCACCTTGGCCAACAGTTTTTTGCCAAACCTCCACGACAGACGCACAAAATTAAGCTGCAGCCCGACACCCTTGCAATCATTGCCCTCAAGCGCCAAGCATTGGACTATGGCAGGGCCCACAAGGAACTGGACCATCCACCCTTTAAAGAAGAGCTCCGGCAGCTGGAGAAACTGGTCCACTGCAAAGTTCGTAGAGACACGCAAGCCTTCTATGATGCTCTCTTAGACCGGCTGGATCATGCAGGTGAGCTTCACAATCATCGCCTGGTGTACCAACTGCTGACACGGCTCGGCAGAAAAAAGGGAGGCAAGGCACCCGGGCCAAAACCCCTTCCCATGTTGAAGAAGGAAGATGGCACATTTGCAGCCACATATGATGAACAGCAGCGTATGTGGATGACGCAATTTGCGGCCGTTGAAGCCGGTGTCCCGTGCAGCTGGGCCCAGCTGCAACAGAAACACCGAGAGGAAGCCGAGGGTCTCAGAGTGACTCTCCCAGAAATTGACCCAGCGGCCTTCCCAACGGTCTGGCAAATACAAGGTCTCCTAACCAAACTGAAGCGAGACAAAGTGCCAGGGCCCAACCATTTGCCCCCGGCACTCCTGAAAGCAGGAGGAGAGGTCATGGCACGACATCTCACTATCTTGTTCACCAAAGCAGCTGCTGCTGCTCGTGAACCCTTGCTGTGGAAGGGTGGAACACTGATCCCACTGTGGAAAGGCAAAGAAGCACCGGATTTACCAACCGCATATCGAAGCATCTTCGTGTCCAACTATTCGACCAAACTTTATCACCAGTTTGTCCGGCAGCATTTGGTGGCAGTTTGGGAGCAGAAGGCTGACCATCTCCAATGCGGTGGCAGGAAGGGAGTCGGGGTCGATATTGCGCACCACGTGATACAATGCCAGCAAGCATGGGTCACAGCCAACGCAATCCCTTCGGCCATCCTCTACATCGACCTCAGGGCAGCCTTTTACACGGTGATTCGGCAAACCTTCACCGATTTGCCCTGCAAAAACCAGGCATTCATGCAGGCGATGGCCACCCTTGGTGTTCCTTTGCAGGACATAGCAACGCTTCTTGCAGCGGCTGAAAAAGAATGCGTGACCGAGGGCCTCTCGGCGCACCTCCAAAAGGTGCTTCACGACATGATGACAAACACGTTTTTCACTATCCCGGGCCTCCAAGATCCGTGCAACACCACAAGAGGAACGCGCCCAGGGGACCCGGTGGCGGACATACTTTTCAACCTTTGCATGACAAGCTTGTTGAAGAGTTTTCGCACTTGCCTAGCACTTCAATGTTCCATTCCATGGTTAGGTGGTGAGGCTCCGGTCCAGGATTACACTGAAACTAGCCCCATGCCAGCTGAAGGATTTATCGACGTCACCTTCGTTGACGACTGTGCAATGCTTGTCCATGCTCCTACAAACCAGCGCATTGAGGAGGTCATTAAAGCCCTTGTCACATGCTTTGACCAAGCGGCCCAGTCCAGAGGGTTGCAGGTCAACTTCGACAGAGGAAAAACTGAACTCCTTTGGAATATTCTGGGCAAGGGAGCAAAGGCCACCAAGCATGCTCTGTACTCCCAGGGCAACACCCTCACTTGGGAACAACAAGGTCACATGTACCGGCTGCACGTTTGCCACGCATACAAGCATCTCGGTACCTGGACCCAGACTAAGCACAGACATGCAAGAGAAATCTTAGCACGAGCCAGTGCTGCGCGCCAGCAATGGGGCCAATTGGCACGCCCTTTTTTCCGAAGATCACTTTCCCTTGCCACTAGGGTTAGAGTCTTCCAAGCCATTGTCGTCTCCAAGATGCTTTACAATGTGCACACATGGGCAGGTATCAAGCCTGAGGAACTTACACACTGGAACAATCACCTCAGAGGACCCATCGCACTATTGATGAAAGGGGTCCTTGCTCCACAGCGCAAATTTAGGCACCCTACTGACACCTTGAGTGCATGGTGCGGCATTCTGCCCTTACCACAGCAGGTGCACCTTAACAGGCTTCGATTTGCCAAACGCTTGTTCCAACGGTGCCCAGCCATCACATGGAGGTTGCTGAATGCCCACCAAGGGCCCACCTCATGGATAGCTGCCTTCAAGGACTCATGTAGTTGGATGCAACAGCACTATGACAAGCCGCATTTGCTCCCTAACAACCACTGCCTTCAGTCCTGGATCCAGCACATGTGCCTTGACGATCACTGGAAGGGAAGGGTGCGCAAAACGGGAAAACTGGCACTACACTACAACACAGCTCAGGCAGAACATGCAATTTGGCAGCATAATTTTGAGGCCACATTGCAGCAGGCAGGTGCCACTCTGCCGGAAGACCCAGTGCCGTTTGCCACCCCTGACCGGTGGCAATGTGATCTTTGTTCAAAGGTCTTTACCAGTACCCGTGCCTTAGCCATGCATGCCAGCAGAGATCATGGATACCGCAAAAAGGTACGCTACTTTGCAGCTGGAGCCACTTGTCATGTATGCAATACACTCTTTCACACGCGCAGTCGTCTTGCAGTGCACTTTGAGCACAACACCCGATGCTATGATGTGATCCAGGCCTGCTGGCCACCCATGCCAGAAACAGAGGTCAACCAACTAGACCAAGAAGACAGGCTAACCGAAGCCGCCCTCCGAAAACAAGGTTGGTGGGCAACAAAAGCGTTTCTGCCGGCAGTCAAAACCTGCGGCCCATCGCTTCCTCCAGGAAATGATCAGGCCAGTGCACGGATGTTTCAGAACATGTTAGCCCGCCGACCAACCGATGCAGCTGCTTACCATCAGTTGCAAGGGCGCAGGGTCTCTGCTGCACCAGCAAATGCCCCGAGCCTGTGGTGGAGAAACTCAGACCTTCCCGCATTCGTGATGCATTCCCCCCAAGGGATTGATGTGGGGGGCGGGGCATTCATGATGGGAGGCTTAGCCAAAGAGGCGGCCATGCTGCACATCCGTGCACTTGTGGTCGTGCATTTCTTTTCAGGTTTCCGTCGCGACCATGACATTCATCAGATTGTCGAACAGCACAACCTGGAACATGCCACACAGCTCTTTGTGCTGTCGGTCGATTTATGCATGCAAAGACAGCATGCAGACCTCGCCACACACAAGTCACTTCAGTGGTGGAAGCAACGAGCGAAGTCTGGACAGCTCGTATCAATCGGGGGCGGCCCACCTTGCGAAACGTACACGGCAGCAAGGCAGAATGACGGGCTAGGCCCTAGGCCTGTTCGATCGGCCACAGAACCCCAGGGCCTGCCGGGGTTAACATGGAAGGAATGGCAACAGATCCACATCGGAGACAGGCTCTTGCGCTTCATCCTCGAGATGCTCCTCCTGATGTCCATCCTGGGCTACAGTGGCTTTATCGAACATCCTCAGTTTCCTACGTGGGAGACCAGCCGCAGCCTGACCAGTATCTGGTGCTTGAAAGCGATCCGATTGATGAAAAGGCTCATGTGTGTAAGCCTGGTTTCATTTGATCAGTGCGTCTGTGGCGCAGCAGGCCGCAAACCGACCACGCTCCTCCTGGTGCGCTTGCCAGACATCCGCAAACGCCTTCTTCAGTTGGGAAACTCTGGTCGATGCCATCATCATGCGGGCGCACATCAAGCACTGATAGGGAAACAGGAGGATGGCTCCTTTCAAACGGCCAGAGCCAAAATTTACCCTGCCCTCATGAACGAGATCATTGGCAAGGCAATGCACGATTTTGCCCTGGGGATTAAGCATCCGGATGTCGTCAGGGACCTTCCCCAGGAATTCGAGGTGTACACAGTGCAGCAGTTCATGGACCGCACAGTAGTCCAACCCGATTATCATGGGATTTAGAACTGAACTGCCAAGTGGACACTAGCAAGCAGTGCACGAAGACCAAGTGCCAACACGGCACAGCAGCAGGAAAGGAAAAGGGGTTGAAACCACCAACCAGTTTTTTTATTTTTTGGTGGTTCCTTAAGCAAATCCATATGATTGCCATTCCCTGCAGGAGCTAAATGAGATTCACGGGGCTTGGTTCGATCCTTCCAATCCTGTGGTGCCTATGAGTGGTACCCAGGAGATATTCGTTGTTGGCCGGTGGTTTCAGCGGTGAAACATGGTGAACCTGGGATGATGCTCCATGATTTTCACTGGTTTCTGTTCGATTTTCAATGGGAAATATGAGCTCTTGCCTGGTGAGTGGTCTCAAATGCTGGCTAAAACCGTTGTTTTTTCATTACCCTCTGGTAAACTAACATAACTATGGAAAATCACTAATTTTTAATGGGAAAAATCCACTATAAATAGCAATTTTCAATAATTAGCTATGTTAGTCATAACCAGAGGGTAAAACTGGTTAACGGGATGATCCAGCAAGCGTACAGCAGGGCATGGCTCAGTCGTTGGAAACTCGGGATTTCAATCGATATGACCTCACTGGAAAGGCTGCAAGGTGATCACCAAATGGCCGCAAGTTTCAGGTTACCCTCTGGTAAACATACAAAAAACTATTGAACATGGCCATTTATAGTTGATTTACCCATTAAAAAATGGGATTTTCCATAGCTATGTTAGTTTACCAGAGGGTAGTGAAACCCAGATGCGAACCATGGTGCTGGTATATAAAAACCTACAAAACTTCGTGATTTTTGGGGCAAATGTTGCTAAATATTCCAGCACCATGGAGCATATGGGAAATATTACAATTTACCCTCTGGTAAACTAACATAACTATGGAAAATCACAATTTTCAATGGGTAAATCCACCATAAATGGTCATGTTCAATAGCTATGTTAATTTACCAGAGGGTATCCAGATGGAACCAGATGGACATTTCTTGAATGATCAAATTTTCAGGATGTTCGCTTCGCGAGCGCCCCATCGTCCGGAAATGTTTTCTGATGGCTTCAGGACATGATCTAAAGATTTAAAGGATGATGGCTATTCATTCGAGTTTCTCATTGCAAATTCCTTGCTTCGAGCATGATTTAGTCTGCCAACCATATTAGTGTTTGTCTATACGTTTTCACATAAGGTGCTTCAACTGCTTGATTCTTTAGTTCTTCAGTGCCACAGTCCAAGGTACTTTGAGAGGCGATTTGATGTCGTGGTTGCTGGAACTTGAGCAGCATCGCATGGGACAACGGGCTCCAAATATGGCTGATGTTCTGCCATCTTTTGACGGCTTTCACATGGTTTCACCATCTCTTTAAGCGGCATGTGTTAGACATAAATTACACGCAAGACTGCGACCATGTTTGATTCCTATATCTGTGCGGAAAAAAAGCTATTTTTTCATATGATGATGCTGCAATAGTTTGATGATATAGGAATCAAACTATTTTTCAAAATAGAGACCAACTATTTTTCATAGCGGAAAAAACATGGGCCCATTTTCCGGTCCATTTTTCAGAAGTGCTATCATTTGCCCATGGTAAAAACCCACAAAAATTGCCATGTTTCATGGCCATTTTTTTCACATCATCCACCTTTCATGGCCAGGAATGGGAAACGAAATGCGATTTATGCCTGGCTCTGGGCACTTCCATGGTTCCTTGCTTCGGAACGTCCGGGGACGGTTTGAAATATTGAGTGGGAGAAAGGGATAGAACGATTTCACCGAGAAGTTGTTAAAAGTTGTTGATGTTTGCTTCAAACCATTCCGAACCAGTGGTTTTTCAAAACTTTGATGGTAAAGCCACAGTCTTTACCACCAAATCTGACGAAATCGTGCAGTCTGCTTGTATCAAGTTATACCAGATACTGTCTGCTAATGATGTTGCCATGTTTGATTCGAATGTCAACCCATTTCCCAACACCTTGTTTCGAGTGTGCACAGTTCAATGATCCATTTGTGTACCCAAAATGGATGTGTTGTCCGACATCAGGCCATATTTTGGAGGCATCTTCCCAGAAAAAACCTCGATGTGATGAACCTAGACGTATTGGCAGCCAAATGATATGCAGTGGCTTGACTCTATTTGCCTATTCAATACTGACAACTATAACTGGTTGGTGGTTTGGAGCATGAATTTTATAACTTTCCATTGGGAATTTCACGATCCCAACTGACGAACTCATATTTTTCAGAGGGGTCGGTTGAAACCACCAACCAGGACAACTATAGTAACGATGATTCCTCCATGGCCAAATATTAAATATGGGGGTTTCCATGGTCATGGGGCTGTCCCCAAAATATATGGATGGATATGGATGGTTTATTTCAATCCGAAAATGAAAAATGGATGACTGGGGGTACCCCCATGACTTAGGACACCACCAAATATCTGGTTGGTGGTTTGGAACATGTTTGATTTTCCCATAATAACATAGACCCGGGCAAGCCGGCGGCGGAAGTTTCCCAAACATAAATGACCTATAGTTCAAAGACAACCTGTCCCGACCGTGTCCTTCCCTCGACAACCGTTTGATTTTTTCAGCGAGAGACGAAGCAAAGTCTTCACACTCCACACTCCACACTTCACACTGCACTTTTCGCACTCCAAACTTGAAACTTCACACTCCACACTTCACACTTCACACTTCGCACTTCTCACTTCCCACTGCTTCCTTCAAACTCCAAACCTCACACTTCACACTTCACACTTCACACTGCGCGCTTCGCACTCCAAACTTAAACTTCACACTCCACACTTCACACTTCACACTTCTCACTTCCCACTGATTCCTTCACACTTCACACTTCACACTGCACTCTTTACGCCCCACACTTCACACTGCTCTAAACCTACGCGCAACAAAAACAACACTAGTGCCAAAATGGAGAAAATCTGCTAACAAATCACTGTCGCAGCCTTCATGCAGCCACTCCAATAGGATTTACGAGATCCAGCTGCAAAAGACAATAGTATTACCAATGCAGCCACAGCACGAAGCAACCTTGACGCAGCCATTACAATGCGATCTGCAGAGACTGAGTTGCAAAACACAATAGAACTACGCACCACGGCGTCGGAAATTGTAGCTCCAAAACCGGATCTCGACGCCAGAGCGAAAAAAAAGACGATTTTGAAGCACTTTTTAAAAAGATTTTTAGAAGGAAATTCACTAGCGCCAAAATGAAGAAAATCTGCTGACAAATCACTGTGGCAGCCTTCATGCAGCCACTCCAATACAATTTACAATCTTCAGCTGCAAAAGACAATAGTATTACCAATGCAGCCACGGCACGAAGCAACCTTGACGCAACCATTTACACTGCGGGAACGATCCTACAGTTGCAAAGCACAATGGAATTCCATCGGCAACTGATCCACCAGCACCACTTGCAATCCCATTTACATTGCGGGAACGATCCTACAGTTGCAAATCACAATGGAATTCTGTCGACCACACATGCACGAAAAACAGTTGAAACCCCATTTACAATGCGGAACCGATCCGAGACCGATCCGAGACCAATCCGAGGATGATCCGACCACACACGAGACCGTCTCGCACCCGTCGCACCGCAGAGGTAGATCATCGAGGTTCGGAGACGGACTTTGTATGGAAAAACATAGGGTTTCCTGCATCTGCTATCTCTCAAAAACGCATTTCGTGCGAGACTTTCTCCAAAACTCCATCGGCAACGCCTCCATCCACCAGCACCACTTGCAATTCCATCTACATTGCGGGAACGATCCTACAGTTGCAAATCACAATGGAATTCTGTCGACCGCACATGCACGAAAAACAGTTGAAACCCATTTGCAATGCGGAACCGATCCGAGCATGATCCGAGCATGATCCGAGCATGATCCGACCACACACGAGACCGTCTCGCAACCGTCGCACCGCAGAGGTAGATCATCGAGGTTCGGGGACGGACTTTGTATGGAAAAACATAGGGTTTCGTGCATCTGCTATCTCTCAAAAACGCATTTCGTGCGAGACTTCCTTCAAAACTCCATCGGCAACTCCTCCACCAGCACCACTTGCAATCCCATTTGCAGTGAGGGAACGATCCTAGAGTTGCAAATCACAATGGAATTCCATCGGCAACTCATCCACCAGCACCACTTGCAACCCCATTTACAATGCGGGAACGATCCTACAGTTGCAAATCACAATGGAATTCTGTCGACCACACATGCACGAAAAACAGTTGAAACCCCATTTACAATGCGGAACCGATCCGACCATGATCCGACCATGGTCCGAGAATGATCCGACCACACACGAGACCGTCTCGCAACCGTCGCACCGCAGAGGTAGATCATCGAGGTTCGGGGACGGACTTTGTATGGAAAAACATAGGGTTTCGTGCATCTGCTATCTCTCAAAAATGCATTTCGTGCGAGACTTTCTGCAAAACTCCATCGGCAACGCCTCCACCAGCACCACTTGCAATCCCATTTACAGTGAGGGAACGATCCTAGAGTTGCAAATCACAATGGAATTCCATCGGCAACTCATCCACCAGCACCACTTGCAACCCCATTTACAATGCGGGAACGATCCTACAGTTGCAAATCACAAATGGAATTCTGTCGACCACACATGCACGAAAAACAGTTGAAACCCCATTTACAATGCGGAACCGATCCGAGAATGATCCGAGAATATCCGACCATGATCCGAACATGATCCGACCACACACGAGACCGTCTCGCACCCGTCGCACCGCAGAGGTAGATCATCGACGTTCGGGGACGGACTTTGTATGGAAAAACATAGGCTTTCGTGCATCTGCTATCTCTCAAAAACGCATTTCGTGCGAGACTTCCTGCAAAACTCCATCGGCAACTCCTCCACCAGCACCACTTGCAATCCCATTTACAGTGAGGGAACGATCCTAGAGTTGCAAATCACAATGGAATTCCATCGGCAACTCATCGACCAGCACCACTTGCAACCCCATTTACATTGCGGGAACGATCCTACAGTTGCAAATCACAATGGAATTCTGTCGACCGCACATGCACGAAAAACAGTTGAAACCCCATTTTACAATGCGGAACCGATCCGAGAATGATCCGAGAATATCCGAGAATGATCCGACCACACACGAGACCGTCTCGCACCCGTCGCACCGCAGAGGTAGATCATCGAGGTTCGGGGACGGACTTTGTATGGAAAAACATAGGGGTTCGTGCATCTGCTATCTCTCAAAAACGCATTTCGTGCGAGACTTCCTCCAAAACTCCATCGGCAACTCCTCCAAAACTCCATCGGCAACTCTTTCCCTCACTAACTCTTTCTTTGACTAACTCTTTCTTTGACTAACTCTTTCCCTCACTAACTCTTTCCCTCACTAACTCTTTCTTTGACTAACTCTTTCCCTGACTAACTCCCTCACTAACTCTTTCTTTGACTAACTCTTTCCCTGACTAACTGTTTCCCTCACTAACTCTTTCTTTGACTAACTCTTCTTTGACTAACTCTTTCTTTGACTAACTCTTTCCCTCACTAACTCTTTCTTTGACTAACTCTTTCCCTGACTAACTGTTTCTTTGGCAACTCTTTCTTTGACTAACTCTTTCCCTCACTAACTCTTTCTTTGACTAACTCTTTCCCTCACTAACTCTTTCTTTGACTAACTCTTTCCCTCACTAACTCTTTCTTTGACTAACTCTTTCCCTCACTTACTCTTTCTTTGACTAACTCTTTCCCTGACTAACTGTTTCTTTGCTAACTCTTTCTTTGACTAACTCTTTCCCTCACTCACTCTTTCTTTGACGAACTCTTTCTTTGACTAACTCTTTCCCTGACGAACTCTTTCTTTGCTAACTCTTTCCCTCACTAACTCTTTCTTTGACTAACTCTTTCCCTGACTAACTGTTTCTTTGCTAACCCTTTCTTTGACTAACTCTTTCCCTCACTATCTCTTTCTTTGACTAACTCTTTCCCTCACTAACTCTTTCTTTGACTAACTCTTTCCCTGACGAACTCTTTCTTTGACTAACTCTTTCCCTCACTAACTCTTTCTTTGACTAACTCTTTCCCTCACTAACTATTTCTTTGACTAACTCTTTCCCTCACTAACTCTTTTTTTGACTAACTCTTTCCCTGACTAACTGTTTCTTTGCTAACTCTTTCTTTGACTAACTCTTTCCCTCGCTAACTCTTTCTTTGACTAACTCTTTCCCTCACTAACTCTTTCTTTGACTAACTCTTTCCCTGACATTCTAAAAGTCCGTAACACGGAAGTTTCTCCCCCTAAACTTCCTTTGATAATATGGGATAATCCTTCCCATTCCCATATGCTCCATGGTGCTGGAATATTTACCAACATTTGCCCGAACAAAATCACCCAGTTTTGTAGGTAAATATACCAGCACCATGGTGAGCTAATCTGGGATTGACTAACTAATATGTTTCAAGATGGTTAAGTCACCACCAACCAGATATTGAAATTCGCTCGTGGAATCCATTGGATCACGTCCAGTGTGGCCAGGTGGGCATGAACTCGGATCGCATGGCCATCTCTGCTGCGCAACGCGCCAAAGCAGGAAAGGCCCTGGGCACCGTGATCGCACCTTGACACGTTGAAGAGACTTCGGTGGTGAAAAACAGTGATGATGTCACCAACTGGATGGATATGTCTTGATCATTCTTAATGTATAATATATATATAATATATATATTATATATATGTATAATATATAATATAATATATATAATATATAATTTAATATATATAATATATATAGATATCCCTATAAAGAGTGGAAAATCTTAGCATTTCTGTGGCAAATTGCACCGTTTTAATCCATGAAAACATCCACTGTTTCGGTCTCGATCATCTCCATGGGCTCAGGTTGCATTGCAGCAGACTCAATATGAATCTTGGTGTGGAACGCCGTCGGCGCTGGATTAATCAATCTTGGGATAAAGCCGTTTTGGGTATTGATGAAAGTCAAAACTAAAGTGCAAATCTGAGGTGTCTTTAGTATCAACTATAATATATCTATAATATATCTATAGTATGTATATATATATACATATATATATACATATATATATACATATAATTACATATATATATGTACATATACATATATATATATAGATATGTACATATACATATACATATACATATAATCTTATATATATATATACCAGTATGATCCGCTATGCGCGGTACCCAAGTTTCGTCGACACCAATGACTTCTACTTCTGCACGAAGTGCATCAGGGGACCAAAAATTCTTCTTGCTGACCCTGTTTAAGCTTGGGTTTTATACTTGGTTGCATCATCATGTTTAGTTGTTTTATGTTGTTATAAACATGGTGGGCCGTACAGACCATGTTCAACAAGCTCACATGATGCTTCATCCACCATCCGTAACAGTGAAATCTCCCATTTTGAATGTTTCAGCATTTGTAAAGGTTGAATCACGTTAAATCCCAGTGCTTGATGGTGAAATCCATGTGAGTTACCGGTCTTTTTTCTAGTCAATCTTTTCCCATGCCCGAAATATGCTCAAGTCCATCATGTTTGATATACGATAAGAAAAAGTCATTGTCTTATCGGTTGATGTTAACACAACTCAGACAATCTTACATTCCCATGTCTTAAAGCATGAAACCCTCATGGTGTTCTGTTTTGGACTTGTCATCTAAATCATTCCAGTCATTCCATCCCATCATCGGTTGATTTAAGTATATGTTTAGTGTATATATATATAATTATGTTTAATTATACATACATATGTCATTGATCGTGTTGATATATTGATGTTATTCCCATATAAAAAGTGTGGTTAACCTCGTTAAATCTCCATTTAAAAAATGTAAAACGTTTTTTTGATGCGTTGGAACTGTTGAAACCATTCCCAGATTAGCGAACCATGGTGCTGGAATATGCACACCAACATTTGCCCTTGTCAAAAATCAGCCAGTTTTGTAGGTTTTTATATACCAGCACCATGGTGAGCTAATCCGGGATTTGTAGTTGATGTTCTATACCCATAGGATCCATGTATGCTATATGTGGTAACATTTACCATCAATATATCCCAAATGTTAGCAATATACCATACATGGATCCTATGGGATAGGAAAACCATGGCTTTCCCGGTTCAAAACCACTTTGTTTTGTGGTGAAATCCCCATGATGCGCATCAGCATTGAGCATCTAAGACTCGATGCGTTGAAACACAACTGCAGTGGAGCCGTTGAGATCTCACCTGAAAATCACCCATTTTTAATGGCAACTAGTCTTCCAACCCCGACAACTGCCAGGGTCTATGTTAATTTACCAGAGGGTATGTCTGATGATTTATAAACCCCATAAATAATATAGCTATATCTACATATATCTACTATAAACCATAGAATTCAGCCACTAAAATAAGGCAACTGAACGCTATCCAACGGGGGCCCCACATTGCATGAATACTAGTTCGTTATTTGTGTATCATCAACCACATTGAAATTGGAGTTATATATAAACGCACGCATGCACCATATCGAATTTCCGGGGGCCCCGCATTCGTTGCAGGACACGGCCTCCTCGTTGCGCATCTTCGCTCCCATCGACGCGGTGATGCAGCTGCTGTCCGTCGAGCTGCAGCTGGGTCCGGAAATGGAGATGCCTAGACCGCAGGTCACGGAGCTGCCTCACGTCTATGGCAACTCGGAAGGTGCCACTCTGGCGTCCTTTTACAAGATGTGTTTCAACTATGAAAAACGAATAAAATCTTTGGAAAATCGGCCATTGAATCATTGTTCAGATCATTTTTTTGTTTGTTCTATGGGGTGGGTACCCATTGAATCTGTGGAAAAGTACTAAGATCATCGAACAAAATCAATGATTGGAGGGTAGACCCAAGCAAAAACACCCATGGTTGGTCGAAAGAAAGAAGTCGGGATCAACGTCTCAACAGCGTGACCAGTACATGATAAGTTCAACAGGATTATACAAAATTACACATTGTATATAGTAATAATATATTATATATATATATATATTTATTTATACTGGTTGGTGGTTTCAAACATTTTTTCCATAATATATGGGATAATCCTTCCCATTGACTAATATTTTTCAAGATGGTTAAAACCACCAACCAGTGTATGTATATATATATATATTCCCCCTTGCAAATTAACAGTTTGTCCCTGAAAATCACAATCTTTTAATGGAAACTAGTCTTCCAACCCCTATCTGAAAGGGTCTATGTTTATATAGCAGAGGGTAATATATCTATCAGTTACCCTAGGGTAAACCAACATAGATGTGGAAAAACCATGGCTTCCCTAGGAAAAGGATCTAGAATTGGTGGGTTTTCCACATCTATTGTTGTTTACAGGAGGGTACATCCGATGGCAGTTTGATGGCAAAATGGAGATTTTTGTTGCAGCCAGAAACAGGATTCAATGATGGGGAGACATCATCAACATTCACCAATGATATGCATTGATCTGGAGATACAATGTGGGGCCCCCCAGTATAAGTTGGTTTATAAACCCCCATAACTATAGTTATTTGCGTACCATAAACCATAGTTATTGGAGTTATGTGCACCAACTTAGCTATCGAAGGGGGGCCCCACATTCTACGGAGAAAGACGTGGTTGTGACTGTTTCGGGTTCAGAATCTGCTACGTAGTGCATAAATTCTTGGAAATGATCGTTAAAATGTACGCAACGCTTTGTCTTAGTCTACCAACAAGAAAAGCTGGGAATTCAGTAAAACAAAAACAGGTTGGTGGTTTGGAACCAAGGAATTTTGAATGACTTTCCCATCATATTGGGAATTGATGAAATTCCCAACTGACGAAGTCCATCATTTTTCAGAGGGGTAGGCGAAAAACCACCAACCAGAAAAACAGCAAGAACAAGAGTGAGAAATCACATGCCTAGTTGATCCCAACGCTGGTTGACGCTTGAATGACCGGTCACAGGACGCTTGCGCCAGCTTGAGGATAGATCCAGAGATTTATAACATACCCTCTGGTAAACTAACATAACATCACATAACTATGGAAAATCAATGAAAATCACCATTTTTAATGGGTAAATCCACTATGTTAGTTTACCAGAGGGTACATGACGTTCAACAACTCAACCTTCAGATTGATCCTCCCATAAACTAACAGTTCAATGTGGAACACCCACCGTGTGCAGATCATATTCCTAGGGAAACCATGGGGTTTTCCACATGTCTTTGATTGTGATGCCGATGTGTATCGAGGGTTTCAATGGGTTTCAAGCTTGTGACGTAGGGAAACCATGGTAAACCAGGCCAAAGATGTCCTGAATCATAAAGTCAGTTGGTGCGAAGTCACAGGAGGAAAACTTCACCAAAATATTTGAAACCACAAACCAGGCTGAACATATTGGTTGTTTCAGACTTGGAAATCTGTTTTTTGTTGGTCATGTCTATTCATTTCTCGGAGTGCACAAGTACTGCACCAATCTTGGCCCATAATTTCTCTGGCTGCCAACAGCTTGAACACCTTTGCCAGTAGAGCTGATTTCATGACTTCAGCTATACTTACCCTCCAGTAAATTAACATAGACCCTGGCAGATAGGGGTTGGAAGATTAATTTCCATTAAACATGTGTTATTTTCAGGGTCTATGTTTATTTACCAGAGGGTACCTCATTGCTTTCCTGGGATAATGAAGAATGCTCCCCACTGATTGTCATATGTTCGGGTTTTTGATCGTGGGATTGGCCAAGGTAATCTCCCTTATGACAAGGCGGGGCAGTGCTTTTCCCGAAGTCAATCCTTAGAGAAGATCCAAGAAATGAAAAAACTTCGATCGACCAGTCTGTCTGTGGGTACCAGTTGAATCAAATCCTGATACCCTCTGGTAATTAGTAACAGTTTGCTATTAAAAATGGCCATAGGAATAGTTGATTTACCCACGAAAAATGGTGATTTTCCATAGTTATGTTAGGTTACCAGAGGGTATGTCTTGATGGGTTTTAGGTGTTTTTTGAAAGGCTCGCAGGTCGATGTGCACCAAAAGGGCTTTTGTTCGCTCTGAGTCAGCTTTCCTGATTTGGATTTACATGTTGTCCCTTCAAGAACAACATGTTGGGTATGAGTCAAAAGAAACTAGGTTAATCTTAGATGGATACTTTAATCCTTTAGTCTTTTGGTATCAATGGGACTATCTACCAACCAGCAAAGAATTTATTTTTTCGCAGGCTATCTAAGATTGGCAATGAAACTTGGATGTTCGACATATTTTGCCAGGGCACCATATGGCGACTGGTTGTGTTGGTCACAACTGCCTTTCATGCACTTTCAGAGTCCTGACTCGTAAACGGCCAGAATGGACAAAGAAGTGACCGCAGCCGAATCACCCTGGATCTGCGTACATGGGCGAAGATGTGCTGCTGGAGTTTGTGAGTTCAGCAATTAAAACTGGTTGGTGGTGACTGGAACATGTTTTATTTTTTCCATAAATTGGGCATAATCATCCCAGCTGACTACTTCTTTTTCAAGATGGTTAAAAGCACCAACCAGAAAATATGGGCATGTTCGACATGTCCCAAAGTGTGTGAGATGATCGTTCTGGGCCTGTACCAAGAAGTGGAAACTATCGATGTTTCGCTGAAAACACTCACGGGTTATTTGACCGATTAGGATGGTATAGGATGGTTAGATAATGTATCATATACAATCATATACATATACATGTAATTATATATATATATTATAACGTACTATGATAATTATATATGGTAGGCAATACATATGTAAAATTATTATTGTATATATATATACATCGCCTGGCCAAAGAAGCAACAGCGGATTGACTCGCACAGATCCTTCTTTTGTTCACGCCATCCAAACGTGAAGGAACAAGCCATCAACTGGGAGCAGACAGCAAGCTACAGTACTACAGGCCCCTAGCAAACGTCAATAACCATCCATAAATCCTATAGAGGGGTGATCATAGATGGATTATTCACATGTATTATCAATTGAGGATCGTATTCACATGTATTCACATTATTTACATGATGGTTAGACAGGGTTGGTTATAGATTGATTATAGATGATTACTATACATGTCAATACCCTTAATCTTTGCCTTGCGGCCGAGATCGTGACATGGCACCCGCCCATCATGACCCACCCATCTGAGAATCTGAGGCGAAGGTGCAAGGCTGCGCTTGGTGACTTGCTGGCGATCTCACTAGTGGGTGAAATCATCCCATTCTCCATGGCACTGGGGATGATTTCCCCAGTGCCATTTGGTCATACTTGGGGAAATACCCTCTGGTAAACATACAGAAAACTATGGAACATCACAATTTTCAATGGGTAAATCCACTATTTCAATGGCCATTTTCATACTTCAGTTTCGAGATTGGGGAACACCACGGTGAACGTCACGTCACGTGACCGATATTGGAATGCCTGGACGTAAGACATCATTTTGGATTAGACGTGGGAGATATCCCATTGGGTTTTCCAGATGGAATCCTGCAGAAAAGCATTGTAAACCATTGGAAAGCGATTCCATTTGGATTCCATCTGGAATGTAAACCAGATGGAATCTAGACATTTTCAAATTTCTTGACGATTCTGTGTGAAAATGTAAAGCATTGTAAAGCCATCAGTCAATGCGATGCCAAAGCTTGACATTGAAAATGCTACTCATTGGGCCCTGGGAAGTGTCACATGTGGAAAAACATCGAAAATGCAACGTGAGTCAGCATCTTAAAACATATGCCGAAGATAGCTGTTGAATGCTTTTGACATATATTTAGCATGTATTAATCATCTGTTTAACATGTATTTAAGATATATTTAACATATAATTTCTATAATTCAACACATATTTAAGATATATTTCACATGGGCTGTGAATGTAGAGTGCAATTGCTCACCAAACGGGTATTATCGGGTCTACACAGTCTACACAGTCTACACAAAAAAATATTATCACCTCACATCACATTCACTGGGATATCACAACGTGCAAACAACGATTCACAAATTTCTTTTTGGGCTTTCTATATGGATATTATATGGATCCATAGTGTAGTCTTGTTTATATGGATCCATATAGTGTAGTCAGTGTAGTCTATTGTAGTCTTGTTTTTGGATCTCAAGGATCCTCAAATATTCAACCCCCAACATCAGCAGATGTTCCAAAGCAAGTTCTGACAGAGTGGTTTTCCCCACTCGCAGTCAGTTGAGCGCATTTTGAGGTCAACCAACAAGGGTGGGATCAAGAGCGATGGGGCAACGAAGCTTGGTTGCGGTCATCGTCAAGGATGGGGCAGGTCAGTGATGTTTACGTTGGTTTATAAACCATTATAATCCCCATTAACTATAGTTATATCTACCATAAACCAGTGTTAAGCCACTAAACCATTATATCTACCATAAACCATTCCCATATGCGAACCATGGTGCTGGAATATTGACCAACATTTGCCAACATGTGCCCTTGCCCAAAATCACCCAGTTTTGTAGGTAAATATACCAGCACCATGGAGCATATGGGATTGTAACCACCATGAAAACTAGTTCGTTATATCTACCATAAAACATAGAATTCAGCCACTTTATAAAGCAACTGAACGCTATCCAACGGGGGCCCCATCCTGTAGTCAATTTTATGGTGTAACCGGACCCGGAAATCATCTCAAATTCTTGAGAGACCTCAACAGCTAAATCGGGGCTGACAGGTACTTCCAGTTGTCCAGCCACAGATACCTGCCTGTTTGTGCCAATTCCTGCCCTTGACATCCTTTGGCTATGAATTGATTCATTTGGAGCTTTCCTAAAATGGGGGGATACCCCCAAAATCCTCCAAGTCATTCGACGATTTTTGTAGATGTTGGGAAAATTTCAGTAGTTCAAGCCATGGTGATGACTGGGGATCCCCCATGACATAACTAGATCAATCTTTGATGGATACTTTAATCCTAACTAGTCTTTTGGTATCAACGGGAATATCTACGTTCACCAGCTAAGAGTTTCATTTTTTGCAGGCTATCTGGCTGATTGGCAATGATTAGAAACCATCAGTTGGAATTCATCACACCATTAATAACCATCAGGTGGCAATAGGTGGTATTAATCATCATTAACCATCATTAACCATCATTAATTTACCTATTAAATCAGCATTAACCATCTTTTACGGCAGCTTCAGTCTGTCGTAAGAAACCCCTTTTATGGCGTCGAAAAGAGAGCTACGAAAAACCCATCGGACCATCCGTCCGTTGATCCACCGACGATTAGATGATGCCCCGGTGATGTGAACGTTGGTGGACATAGATTTTATAAATGATGGTTAATTAATAATTGTTAATAATCACTGGTGGTGGTTTCAAACATGAATTTTATTGTCCATTTCATATATGGGATAATCCTTCCCATTGACGAACTCCATCATTTTTCAGAGGGGTAGGTTGAAACCACCAACCAGTTTATAAAGCCGTTAACTATAGTGTAAATAGGTGGACATATCATCAACTAATATGGAACATTAATGAAAATTAGTAGTTTGATAGTTTTAATGATTCCATTAAGTCTACTAACTATATTATATATATCCCGCAATCAACCCCAGTGTTTTTACCGGCAAATGTGCGTCAACTTAGCGCTACTGTTTGGGGAGCTTCGCCTTCTGGGATATGACCCCATGAAAATGTGTAGCATTGGGGCCCATCGCCGTTTGTTACACGCAGCCATCCCGGCCGGTAGGAAGGTGTGGTTTTGTCACCGCACCTTAGCAGCATTTCGGAACACCGGCAGATAAAAAAGGGTGGTGGACGTGTCACCGCGAAAACGCTGACCTGGTAGTATGGTTGGATTTTAAGTTGAATCACTTTCAAGAAAAACAAATCCACTTTGGCTGGGCACAAACTATGTCTATGCCCTCTGACAAAAAGAATTGGTGCTGGAGATGCCACTGATAAACTGTGTAAGGCAATCATCAAACTCTTGGCTTATTGCCTGCGCATTTGGGACTATACCAACTTAAACAATTTGGTGAAGCCATGCGCCAGTCGCGTGACATCTTTCGGCTTTAAGGCGTGGCCAAGGCGTACCCTACAAGGGCTTTGTCCAGCATATCTGGATGTAAACTGTAGCAACCTGAAACGACCGCAGCATCAATAATGGTCAATCGACTGGATGGATACCCATTGAAATAGTGGATTTTCCCATCAAAACTTTCCATAGTTTTTTGTATGTTTACCAGGCCGGGTAATCCTAACTAGTCTTTTGGTATGGGAATATCTACGTTCACCAGCTAAGAATTTGTCATTTTTTGCAGGCTATCTGGCAGATTGGCTATGAAATGACCCCAGAAGTTGCTTGTGGATGGCTGGAAAATCTCCATCGAGGTTTTTTTCGCTGGGAAAACAAACCTGCTGTCTGAATGATAGATTTTCCATGAGATTGAAGATCTATTGGATGACTTACTGGTGCTTAGTAGGGAATGGATGGGTTGCTGGGGGTTGCTGGGATGATTATTACTAGTGATTATGGATCATTCCCTCATTCCCTGCTAAGCACCAGTAAGATGATGAAGATTGATGAAGCCGTTTTGAAAATTGAAATGATCAAGACAGATTTGCAATGATCAAGCTAGTCATCTATCTCTGTCTATTGGAAATGATCGGACAGAGACGCCCTGCTTGAATTTCAAGCAGAGACCCTCAAGTCTTTTCTGAGGCAAGAGTCCCTGAAAGATGCTTGGCTCTGCAGTAATCTCAAAATGGGACCTGAACAATTCCAAAGTAAATTCTTTTAGTGGGAATAATTGAAATAGCATTCACAAGACGTCAAAAGCTACTGTTTGGGGGATCCCACATGTGGACCTGTCAGGAGTAATGAATGGAAAAAACTTTGCCTAGGCAAACATGTCGATACAAGCAGCGAAAGTGAAAATTCAACTCATGGACATGCAGCTCAAACATCGAGGAGCATAACTGGTTGGTGGTGACTGGAACCATGGAATTTTATGTTTTTCCATTGAGTTGGGAATTTCATCATCCCAACCGACGAAGTCATATTTTTCAGAGGGGTAGGTGTACCACCAACCAGCCATTCATTGGAATCATTTCACGGTTTGTTGCACTTTGGCCTCTGAAAGATGCCGGGAAAGGCCAGGTCTGATCAAAGATGTCAGGAAAGGCACCAGTAACCAATGTGAGACAGCACTATTCTGCTTGTTGGTTTCAAATCTCTGAATGATTATTCCACCACTAAAACAGTATATATATATATTGAAACGTGTTTCCAGGATGGTATAATTCAGAGATTCTTTCCCCATCATTTCCTGCAGGCTTCCATGCATCTTCCGCAGGGGAATGCTGTGGATAACCCCCAATGTTGGTTTTGCATGGAGTGATGCCCAACCCTCGCCAGGACGAAGGTCATTACGCCATTGCAGTGGGCGGTGGCCCGGTTCGCGTCTTGGGCTTGTGGTGGCTGGAAGCAGCTCAGCGTGGTGCTGTGCAAGTACCTTGCCGCCACAAAATTGGAGGCTGATTTTGAGATGGTGAAACACTACTGGAGTGGCCAACATGATAACTAGGTCAATCATAGCTATTGAAAATGGCCATTTATAGTGAGTTTTCCCATTCAAAATGCTGATTTTCCATAGTTATGTTAGTCTATACTAGGTCAATCTTAGATGGATACTTTAATCCTAACTAGTCTTTTGGTATCAATGGGACTATATACGTTCACCAGCAAAGAATTTGCATTTTTTTGCAGGCTATCTGGCAGATTGGCAATGATAATGAAAAACATTGGAAACGTCTACATTGACGTCTAGATGTCTATTTCTTGGTGACGTTCCTGTGCAAAAACAGTGCTTTCCAATTTGAAAACAAAAATGTGTGGAGCCTCAGAAATTCCAGGAATTCCAGGTCCGCTCAAAAAATCGTTTTTTGGGGGATTCCTTTGCCGCTTGGATGCGGCTGGGAATCTATGTCAATCGACTGGATGGATACTTTAATCATCTTTAAAAATCCTGGTGGGTGGTTTGGAAATGTCGATTAACTATGGTTTATGGTAGATAGAACGAACTAATTAGTGGGGATTATAATGATTTATGAACATAACTAAACTATTGGTTGGTGGTTTGGAACAGTTTTTATTTTTCCATATATTGAGAATAGTAACCCCAACTGACTAATATTTTTCAGAGGGGGTGAAACCACCAACCAGAATCCGTTAGTCTTTTGGTATCAATGGGAAAAGCATATCTAAGTTCACCAGCCACCAGCTAAGAATTTATTTATTTGAAGGCTATCTAAGATTGGCAATGTAAATGGATACACATGGCTATAACTGGTAACCTTCATAAGTTCGGAGATAATCCCTATAACTATGGTTTTATGTTAGGAAGTTTCCTGAAACGGTGGTACCCCCAGTCATCATCCATTTGTGGTTTTTCCATCTAAACATATATAAACCATCCATTTTTGGGTACCTCCATCTATGTAAACCCCCATTTACCTACTTACAAGCCATGTGTTGGGCTCGAGATATGTGACTGACGAAGAAAATCAATCCCAAGGCCCAGCGTTGGCCAAGGTGTGGCCACATCGTAGATAGCTAAGTCGGTTTTTGAACTCAACCATCAATGGGAATTTCGGGATCCTAAATTGGAGGTACTGTACCATATAAGGCCATATTTTGTAGGTATATCCCCTTACATAGGTCTTATATATGGTAGGTACCTCCAATTTAGGATCCTGAAATGGCCATTGAAACGGTGTACTAGGTCAACCGACTGGATGGGTAGAAACTAATCCTTTAATCTTTTGCTACAAATAGGAAGATCTACGTTCACCAGCTAAGATTTTTTCATCTTTTGCAGGGTATCTAAGATTGACAATGTGTATGGCAATGAAATAACGAAGGAGTTCATGAGGTTTATAAACCAACGAACATCACTGGAGGGCCCACCAGCCCACCGGCCCACCTTGTGGTTTCTCATAGTTTTCCGGTAAACCAACCCAGTGAGGCTAGAATCAATGGGAAATCCAGGATCCTAAAATGGAGGTACGTTAGTACCATATAAGGCCATATTTTGTGGGGATATTCTCTTACATAGGCCTTATATAGGACTTATATATGGTAGGTACCTCCAATTTAGGTACCTGAAATGGCCATTGATGAGAAAGATCCAATCATCAAGACACTCAAGACACTGAGGCATTGCCAGTCGTCAACTGCGACTGAGAGAGCCTTGCCCGCCGCAAAAAAACGTTTAAACAATTCGAATCAATTCGATGTGAATCAGAAAGTCGAAGAAACCTTGCCTTTCTGAAATGTCTGCTGTGCAAAAAAAATGCACGAGATGCGGAAGTGTGAAACACATTGACGACTGGAGAGGAGCACAATTTTAATCTCCATGGAGATAGAGCCAACCTGCAGCACATGTACAGCTGTGCTGCCCTCGGATGGCTGCTAGCACTGGCGCAAAATCTGAAAACCTGGAGGGTTTGAATGTGCTATGGGATGGTTCATGATTAGTTTAAGGGAGATAGGGAGTATATCCTCCAGTCGTATCAGCTTGCAACTCCGTTCGCATCGGCTAGGGGCCCGATGTTGTTTCTGGTTTTGCTGATGAAACACAGGTTTTTGGATATGAAGCATACCCTCTTGAAAATAAATCTGATCGGAAATCCCCTGTTTTGAAGATGATTTGTTTACTTTACATGCTGAACTGCCATGTAAAGCTTCTCCACACACGATCGTCACCATCCTTATCCTTGCGACCCTGGGCATTGGCTGGGTGAACCTTGATTAATTTGGTCAATGACCAATGGGCAAGGCCCTAGCTGAGCTATGAATCCATATGAATCCAATAATATGTATCCTGTATACTGCCCTCCCGAGAAATAATTGTTTGTAGGGTATCCACAATAGCCATGTTTAGGCGTGTGAGTGTGCGTGTGTGTGTGTGTGCGCGCGTTTGTGTATAATATAAAAGGTAAACACACGCAAACTTGGAAAGTCAATATGCATCTTCAAAAGCCAGGGTAACAGGGCCATCTTGAGATTAAATCAAGACAAAAAGCCACTAGAACTGGCATCTTTCACTGCACTGGGCAAGATCCGACCACTGCTAGAAAGCAAACCAGCATGATAGGGACATGCAAGTGCCAAGTTTGATGCGCCACACATGCTTTGAGTGGTTCTGTCCGCAAGAAGTCCTGATTTTTAGGCCTTGCAGCATGATTCCAATGTGGAAGAATTTCCGCCGCCGCGCCACGTCTCTTTCAGCTCAAATCAGCTTGCAACAAACAGCGCAGCGGCCCCCATATCCTCCAGAAATCTGGCCCTATGAAAAAAAAACATCTTTCTGAGCAGGGCTCAACACTGCACCCGCCATGGACACAGACCTCCGCTTCCATGAGACGGTAGCGCCTGGGCTAAGATCTTTTTTTATCAGGACTGGATGAATTGGGATGGTCAAATCCAGACTGCCGAAAATGTGTTTGATGAGGAGCCCTGATTCTTTTCGAGTTGCGGAGCCCTCGAGCCCGGGTATCACCAATGAAAAACAGCCGTGAATGGATAGATTTTTTTTTGGTGGATGCCAGGTTGGGTCATTAAATGCTGATGTGCACCCGTGTCTCTCACATGGTGTTTATGTCATTGTTATTCCACAAGGTGACAACCGCCCGTGGGCCCGTGTGTTACCACAAAAAGATTTTCGGGTTGATACAACAGTAGCGAAGAGCTTGTCCTATGTTGGGGGAGACCTTATACTATGAAAACAAGGATGCATGTTTTCCATGAATTATGCAATCTATGTGCAGTGGCATCACCTATATACTATGGTAATTGTTTTAGTGCAACAAAACTTTTAATGTGATTATTATACTTAGAATGACTGGTAAGTATGATGAATCTTAATGTTGTTTATGATAAAATGATATAAAATGATTATCATGAGGCACAAAATCTAGTATCACGATGATATGAACACTTAAAAGTATAATGAATTGTGTCTCATTGAAATCACTATGATATTCTTACCCTGTGGTTATCTAACGTAGCTATGGCATGCACCATGTTCAAAAGGTAAATCATTTAATATATATATATATATAATTATACATATATATATAATATAATTATATATATATATATATATCATATATAATCATATATATATATTGATCATCTATAAATGGACCATTTTCCATAGCTATGTTAGTCATAACCAGAGGGTAATTCCCATTAGATTATCCCCATGCTTGTTGGAAACAATTTCAGTAATCATCGTATTTTTTCTACAAACCCCATAAGCATCCCATTAAACATGAAGGGGAATGAATTATGGGAATATCAAGACATATTAAACTGGTTGGTGGTTTCAAGCATGTTATATTTTCCATAATATATGGGATAATCAGTCTCATTGGCTTTCATATTTTTGAAGATGGTTGAAACCACCAACCAGATTGTTTTCCCGGCCCAGGCCAACATATTTTTATGTTTACTAATGTTTACCAGATTTTTACCAGATTTCATAGGATGGTTGTAAACATTAGTAAACATGAAAAACATGAACATCAATTGAAATCACCATGAAATCCCACTTCAACCGCCTTCCCGAGGGCTGTGAGCCTTGGACCTTCAGTCCCGAGACGCCGGAAGACATTGATGCGGAGCGTGGCTCGTTTTTTTTTTGGCGGTTGGGGTTGATGGGTCAATGCGGGGTTCCAAAGTCATGGGGGAATCCCCCATACTGTGGATGGTTGCGAAATCCTGCACCACTTGATAGGTGGTTTATCCCATCATTTATAGGGTTTCAACCATCCTTTTGGTGGTGAAGGATTTCTTGCACCCACCGTAGCTGGTTGGTTTATTTCATGGAAAATCCGAAAATAAAATGGATGATTTAGGGGTACCCCCATTACCCCCATTTATGAAAACCTCCATATCATTCCATATCGGTTTTTTTACATGGGGGGGGTCCATCAATGGAGCTACCCCAGCTCGATGGTAGATGGACAATCCGGAATTGATATTGATAGTGGAAAATCATGTTCATTGTACAATATAGAATATATATAATATAGAATATAGAATATAGACGTATAACTATATATGTTACGTCTAGTATATGGATATATATTAAGGTATACAATTGCATATTTAATAGATATATATATATATACATATATATATGTATATTATATGTACATATGATATATCATGGATTTGGGTCAAAATTGGGTTTTTCGTATCCCAAGAAGTAGATGGCTAATACAAAACAAACACTAAAATGGTTGCTGGTTCACTGCAACTCAAACGACTTGTAAATCAATTGACTCACTGCCTCTCCCCACGTGTCCCCGGGCCCCAATGGCTTGAATACAATTGGCAGTGTGTCAAAACCAATAGTACCCCTGTAGTTCACATCAAAATAGCTGGGATTTATGGATGTTCATCCCACTAAAAATGGTATTAATAGGTATTGATCCATACCCAATTAGGAAGGCGCAGAAGGCTTGAAAGACATACTACGCCCTAGTCGCACATGGTGCTTCCTTAACTCCTTACTGATGACTGCAGGTCATTTATTGTTGCGTCCCAGCTCTGACTGCACTCAGGTTGGCAGAGGTTCGTGGAGGAGGTGAATGCCTGCGTGAAGAACAATGGAGCCATGCGAAAAACGGGAGGGCTGAGGGATGGATATGGCTGGATATATATAATTATAATTTTAAGAGTATAATACCCTCTGGTAATTTAACATAGCTATTGAGAATGGCCATTTATAGTTGATTTCCCCAGTAAAAAATGGTGATTTTCCATAGTTATGTTAGTTTACCAGAGGGTAATAATGATAGTAGTATAGTATTAACAATATAGGTTGGAAACTAATTGGATGATAGTAGTAATAATAACACTAAATATATAGCATTATAATAATGATAATGATGATAGTAGTAACACCAACACAAATGATGATTAAATGGTGATTTAATGGTAATTTAATGGTGAGTGGGGGATGGTCGTCCATTCATGGTCCATAGCCATAAGGGATCAGACCATAGCCATAAGGTTTTGACCATGGCACACTTATTATAACTGCTTGGTGCTTTGGAACATGATTGGATTATTTTCCATTTCATATATGGGATGTCATCCGAAACCCATTGACTTTCACTCCATCATTTTTCAAGATGGGCACAGCCAGCACCACCAACCAGTGATGGTTTGATCCCAATGACCATTCCGTACCTATGAGATGTTGATTTGTTGGAAGAATGCCACCATGACTACCATGATTTTTTTTTTGAGCGACCAAGTTTGTCCAATATCAAAATTGCAGCGGTTTCAAAGAAACGAAACAGGAATTTTCATGAGAAAATAGGCCCGAAGCAGCCCAAATAGGTGCTTATCTCAGGCTAATTATGATCACATTATGATCACAAATCCAGCATTTTCAGGGATCAAACATAGGTTGAAGGGCATGGGAAAAACCAGGTAATTGCCCAGTTTGTGAAATATCGGTTCTATCTTGAATTTCCTGGAATGATCTGGTTGGGCAAGTGATCTGGTTTATTAAGAATCGATGCCAAGGAATCCGGAGGACGGTGTTGACTCAAAGTCCCGACAGAGGAACTTTGAGAATGCCAATCTCCAAGTGTTTTTCAAAGGAAGTTTAGGGGGAGAAACTTCCGTGTTACGGACTTTTAGAATGTCAGGGAAAGAGTTAGTCAAAGAAAGAGTTAGTCAAAGAAACAGTTAGTCAGGGAAAGAGTTAGTCAAAGAAAGAGTTAGTCAGGGAAAGAGTTAGTCAGGGAAAGAGTTAGTCAAAGAAAGAGATAGTCAAAGAAAGAGTTAGTCAAAGAAATAGTTAGTCAGGGAAAGTTAGTCAAAGAAAGAGTTAGTCAAAGAAAGAGTTAGTCAAAGAAACAGTTAGCCAGGGAAAGAGTTAGTCAAAGAAAGAGTTAGTCAAAGAAACAGTTAGTCAGGGAAAGAGTTAGTCAAAGAAACAGTTAGTCAGGGAAAGAGTTAGTCAAAGAAAGAGTTAGTGAGGGAAAGAGTTAGTCAAAGAAAGAGTTAGTGAGGGAAAGAGTTAGTCAAAGAAAGAGTTAGTCAAAGAAACAGTTAGTCAGGGAAAGAGTTAGTCAAAGAAAGAGTTAGTGAGGGAAAGAGTTAGTCACAGAAAGAGTTAGCAAAGAAAGAGTTCGTCAGGGAAAGAGTTAGTCAAAGAAAGAGTTAGTCAAAGAAACAGTTAGTCAGGGAAAGAGTTAGTCAAAGAAAGAGTTAGTCAAAAGAGTTAGTCAAAGAAAGAGTTAGTGAAAGAAAGAGTTAGTCAAAGAAAGAGTTAGTCAAAGAAACAGTTAGTCAAAGAGTTAGTCAAAGAAAGAGTTAGTGAGGGAAAGAGTTAGTCAAAGAAACAGTTAGTCAGGGAAAGAGTTAGTCAAAGAAAGAGTTAGTCAGGGAAAGAGTTAGTCAAAGAA